GCCTGCCTTACAGAGGATTGGGTCATCCACCAAGACCTGGTGCTGGATCCTCTCATAGGCCTTGAGGATGCTGGTCTTCTCTGGGCTGGGGCGAGAGGCCTGAGGGGAGCGCAGCCACAGAAGCTTGACAAGCATACATGAGGCGGTTGTGCTGCGGGCTGATGTCCTGCTGTGCTGGTGCATACCTTTTTGCCATCTTCACCTTCTGGACCAAGGCGGCGTCAGCAAGGTCATCCCTCTTAGTGCGGCAGTACAGCGTGTTACCCCAGTGTGTGCGGTATAGCTGGTGGTACTTCTGTGGCTGCTTGTTGTGCTCCTCCACCACATTCCAGGCCTCGAGGACCCGGTTCCTTTGCGCGGTGTTGAGGAGCAACTTCTGGTCTGTCAAGCCGACCTCCACCAGTGCAGCACAGAATGCCTCCAGCTTTTGAAACCCCGGCAGAGGATTGTCACTGCAGACATCCTCCTGTAAAACATACACAGAGACACACACACACACACACAAAGAAAATTAGGTAAGTTCCAATGCATACAATGTCTTGTTTTTCAACATTGATTACTGTATTCTTTTCTATCAGACAAGTAGATACTCTACTCACAAAGGCAGGGGGGTTGACTGTAGCAGTCTCACTGCTGGTAAGAGTCATGTGGGGCTGGACAGTAGGATGGTCCTCGTCGCTTTGGTACGCCTCGTCTGATTCGTCGTCCGAGTCAGCCTGCCCAGGCTGAATGACCTCCTCCTCCGGCCCAGGACCGTCATTGACAATGCCCTCAAGAGAGAAGGCCTCCCCTGTGCTTTGGCTGAAAAGATATTCAAGACCAAGCAGCTCATTTGACTGGACGGCGGCCGGGGCCCTGAAGTTCTCTTCCACCGTCTCGCCAAACAGCTGCTTGCAGCGGGAGTTAAGGCGGTCAATGAGCGGCGCCGAGTAGACTCGGCTGTGCCGGCCTCTGCCCCCAAACACTGCATCCGAGCTCCGGTCAGAGTTCCACCTGGCGATCCCACTGATGAGGTAGACCTGGTAAGGCCGTGCCGCACATTGGGGACCTGAACATCACAACAACAGGTATTATCAGAATGAAAGAAAAGAGACGTGTGTTGTTTGCTGTTAAACAAGTATTTTTCCCCCTTAGATTACCTGGAATCATATGGGGCAGCGCCTTATGGAACCCCCCCAGGCTGTTGCTCCCACGCAGGCATTAATAATACGGGAGGTCCACATCGTTGATGGTCGTGGTACGGGCAACCCTGTACATGGCCATGCCTGGTGGGTCTTGGATGCATTCCAGGTGTCGCTGCTGGCTGGCCCACATCTCATCAATTGCTGCTGTAAACACAAAAATCCACAGACATGCATGATGAGCTCTTGTCATTTTGCACATATTGTGTTTGTGTGTGTGTGTGTGTGAGAGAGGTGTTTTTCCTTACCAGGGGACTTGAAGAGGCTGACCCCGCTCTCGTCGAGCCCTGCTGGACCCCTGAGCTGTTGAATTACTAGGTGGACAAGACGAAATGTCTCCTGGGCTCCGAGGGTGACACCGGACATGATGCTTGAGCTGGTCCCGGGAGATGTAACGCCGGACAACATTCTCGTCTGTCACGACCTCCATTGTGGCCGGATCTTTGGCCCTGACAGCCCTGATGAGGAGCTGGAGGTCCTCACGGTTATAGGCCAGCACTGCCCCGGCCAGCGCAGACTTGAAGGCGGCGTACTTGGCGTGGGCCTCTGTACGCAGAGCAGCATCAAAGCGGTGAAACCAATGAAAAATATCCAGCCTCACCACCATCCCATCATCCACCCAAGGCTGGAAAAGCGTCTCCACGGCCGTCGGACCCTGTGCCTTGCAGCATCCCCGGTCGATATACAGGATCTTGGGTGTCGGTTGATTGGCAAGCCGGAACCGCTCCGCCACGCCACGGCACATGGGCCCCAGCTTTTCTGAGGACTCCTCGCAGGTGAGAACAAAAGACACGATCTGCGAGTACTCGTTGCCGATGCTGGTGAACCACTCGGCCGAGCCCTTGCCCTCCCCAGAGAATTTCTTTACCACCTACAACAAAATAAACACAAAACAGTTTAGTTTAGTTTTGGATAATGTTGCGTTTCTCCGTGAGTACTCGAATGTCGACACACTTGCCTTCTTTGTGGAATCCATTTTCAGGACTGTGCCAAACGTGTAGAGGATCTGGCTTCGGTAGTCCTGCACGTTGTCCGCCTCGGCCAGGAGGAAGGCGTGCCGCAGGAGCTGCGCGCAGTGTAGCTCTCTGGGAGGAGGTGGCGCCTGGAACTCCCCGTGACCCAACGCAGACACGATTCCGCCGGGTTCCACCAAGGCCATGAGGAGCGTGGTGTACAGGTCCTTCCTTTGATGGTAGTTCTCCTTGTGGTTCTCCTGCACCTGCCGCCACACTTTGATCATGGTGTTTCCCTCTGTGCGGTCACGCAGGAGGCAAAGTACTGTTTTGTCCACCCCATGCTTTGCAGTCAACACGGCCGGAAACATGGCCTGATGAGCCTCGCTCAGCTGCTGCAATATTACATCTGACCACTCGCTCCACCCCTGGCAGCCTTGAGGCATGGTCCACAGACAACCACCTCTGTTGCCATGGTGTACCAACCGGACACATCACAGATGTGACGTACCTAAAACAATAAGTAAAACATTATTAGTTACATTATTATTATTAATAAAACATTAATACATTGAGATTAACAATTTTTAATAGATTAAAAATGTGAAAATTGTAAATAACATTAAGAAAGTTAGTAGATGCTGTAACAAAACTATTTAATTGTTAAAAATTCCCAAAGCATTTACTTATGTAAACAAAGGGGACTTTTTTCAATGCATGGATGACAATTTTCTAATAATTGATCTACTTATGTCACTTTGGATGGCAGGAGGCCGATGGTGTAAGTGCGAGCACATCTTTCTGTGTGTTGTGGACACTGTGCCCCCTTAAAAACCAAAAATAAATAGGTACACAATGCGTCTGTCAGCATTCATGTTTGTTAAGTAGTCACTAATTATGTTACTGAAAACACAGGTGTGAAGAGCCTTACCCGGGTATGGTAACCAGACTTGGAGAGGTGTGTGTTGCCTCCAGCCCCAGCGCACTTATCTCCACGGGGACATTTCAAGGAGCACCGCCACATTCTGATGGGGCGCCAGAAGAAAAACCGGCTGCGGAAAAAGGCCTGTGGAGTGGGGATGGCCCCGCTAACGAAGCCGGGTGACTTGGGGGGGGTAAAACCACATCCGGTCTGACTTCAGGACGCGCCGCCTTCTAATGACGCCCTTGATGTCCTTGTAGGTTTGGACAGACGTTAAGAGGCCTCTCTTGCTGTCCTCCTTCAGCCAGGGGATGTCAGGTGATGGGATGCCATTGGGGTCTTCCCACAGCCGCACCCAGGCTTCCAGCTCCACCTGAAAGACACAAGACATACAACACACAACATTTATTAATTTGTGTCACATAATGTGGTGGGGGTTACCAACCAAGGGATTTTCTGAAATGCATTAACATTGCTTGTGTGTGTTATGATTTTACACTTACAGGAGAGTCACTTTGTGACAAAGGGGTGGCAGACACAGGCTGGCTGGTGGAGGTCGATGGTGGTTTCTTTGGGGCGAGCATCAGAGGGTGACTGACCAGGCACTAAGAGAACAGGAGGAGCGTCTGCTGCTTGGGACTCTCACAGGAGGCCTGAAGCGAGGACAGCGTGGGCTTCTGCTGCTTCCTGTGCTTTTCCTTCTTGCTGGTAGACCGAGGAGACTGCTCGAGATGCTCTAGGGTTGCTGGCACGCTGATGGATGATGGCGGCTGTTCGGGAACCCCTACCGACACAGGCTGGGTGGAGGAGATGGGCAAGGGCTCCTCTTGGCTCTCAAAGGTGACGAGAGCATCCAACAAGACAAAGTCGTCCAGAGCGTCATCGGACCATGACAAGTGGGAGGTGTCAGCTGCTGCTGGGGAAACTTGAAGTGAAGATAATTTAGATCATTTATAATATAAAATTATAAATGTATAATTTAGGTTCTAATACAATAGTATAAACTATGAATTAATCTGTACATTGAATTTAGCATTTAAGATTAGGATGTTGATTATATCCGGCCCATCCTGTTTTTCTGTTTTGGTCAGATTACTGAAACTCTTAATGTTTTTTTTCCTGCCCAAACTGTTTTCTCTATTGTGTTTTAAATGAATCAGATCACAATCCAATCAACCTTACGAATCAACGTCTATGCTACTGATCTGATTAACACAGGATGGGCCGGATACAATCAACATCCTATTCTTAAATGCTAATTTCAACATTGACTTTTACCTTTTGTCTTTAATGGCTCTGGGATGGCTCTTGGAAATAGTTCCTGGCCAGAATCAACATTTTCAATAGTTACTGAAGCCCAGTTACTTGCCCTCAGAGTAGGGATAAAATACATTTTTGGTATTTTGTGTATTTCTTTTTTGTAATAAATGTTTTTCATTGTTGCATACTAATTCTAGTTGTATTATTTGTATTATCTGTGTCCTGTCACTGTTATTCTGCTTGTGCTGTAGAAGCTTCTGTCACCAAAACAAATTCCTCGTATGTGCACAACATACCTGGCAATGAAGCTCTTTCTGATTCCGGTTCTCTTCTTGAAGAGCTGGAAGTGGCAGCAGCAGGAGTGGCATCAGATGAAGGCTTCTGTGAATGAATGAAAGCTTTGTGCTCTTGAAGTTTGTCAACATAGCATGTGTAGTAACAATCACGGCAGTTTAAAATCACCTTAACCTACCTCTCTATCGAGAATATATTTTCTGAAGCGCTTCAGGGATTTGGTGGTGATGTCCTCCTCCTTCATCACCAGCCACTGCCGCACAGAGCAGTACGCCTCCTGAGGCATCTTTCCCTCTTGATCTGTCCCACTGTGCGGGGCAGTCTGAAACACCTTGTGCAGACTGTACACTGTTAATTATTTGACTGTAAATTTACAATAAATTGCAGGTTACCAGTTGCATGACTTTCACAGTAAGTTACCGTATCATTTTTACAGTAAAGTATTGTGAAATGACAGTTGTATACTGTAATTTTACAGTAATTATGCCATCGCATTACTGTGATTTAGCGGTAAGCTGCTGTAGAATTAATGTATTTAACTGTGAAATTACAGTTGCTCTATATGTATTACTGTAATGTAGCAGTAAGCTGCTGTAAAATTAATGTATTTAACTGTGAAATTACAGTTGCTGTCTGTATTACTTTAATTAAGCAGTAAGCAGCTGTAGAATTACTGTACATAACTGTTAATGTCTATTGATTACTGTGATTTAGCATAAATGATGGACCAAACAAAACTAATAAAAACAGTGATTTAACTTTTATTTTTTAGAAGTAAAATACAATTTAATCACAGGAATAAAACACCTGGTAACAGGGATTAACAGTGGGTAACAGGAATGTGTGTCAAAAGAACGAGAAAAGAGATTGATGGAGAGAGAGGGAAGAAAAGACAATAGAGAGGGTTGCAGGTGTCTCTCTCCTTCCCTTGCGGTTGGTACCAGCATAGTGTGGGCTCCATTCACTATACACAAAAGATAAGAAAGACAAAAAGTTTAAGTTACTCTGTGGTGGACTGGCTCCCTGTTAAGTATGGTACTCGCGTTGTAACACTAATCCTAAAATGTCTAAAACTATTTTTTTTAAATCATGTGAATAGTCCTATATCAATTCATATTAAATCAACAAATCAGAGGACTCTAGATACAGATTCAGATACAGTGTTTCGTTCGTCCGTTCTGAAGTTGGAACACCGCTTACATTATATTGACAAGACATCCATTCGAAGTCAATGAGCTTCCTTATCAGAGTGCAGACTTGCTGGTTCATGTGACCTCTCTGCCTCTTAGATTTTGTTCCCGTCTCTGGGTTGATGCCCAAGAAGCACCTATAATCAAAAAGACAGAAGAAAGCTGTTAATTTATGTGCGATACAAAAAGGTGTCAGTTCCCAGTCACCACCTTCAGTGGGTTACTGCTGTTGGCAGTACAGAGTCAAACTAAAGTTAGCACAGTTTTAACAAGGTGACATTACTGTAATTCAGAAAATAAAATAAAAAAATTCATGGAACTGAACTGAAAATCATTTCCATTACAAACAGTCAAGAATAGACCCTCAACAAAGAAGAGGTGTGTGATTTAACCAGGTAAAGCATTAGCACACAACAATTTACATCATTTACATGTACTGTTTGCAGAGGATGGAGTAAAAGCCTGTTGTCTGTCCATCTCCCTATGTCTGTTTCTGCTTGTACTCTTCCTCCTAGAATTATTACCCATTCACAGATGATGTGATAAACACATTTTATATCTTAAATCTTTTTCACAATAAAGCACCCAGTAGTTTTCACCGGCACAGACACACAAGTTAAGTCTGCAAGACACCACTTGTTTGAGGGGGAGAAAGGGGGGTCATCACCGTTTGGCTGCTGTGGTCCTGAACGGATTGCAAAATACATAAAAATACATCCAAACATTCCTTGTTTAACCCACCAAATAGAAAGCAAGCCCTCAAGTACAAAATTAATGTAGATATTACCTTTGGATAAATTCCAGAGTACAAGCAGCATCTTCAGCATACTTCAAATTAAAATTGTAGTAGCTGGAAAAAATAGCAGCCAGACCAGTTGTAAAGTCAAGGTGAGGTCCCATGACCACTTGACCCTCCAAAGACAGCATCCATGCCCTTGGTTTCATTTTGTCACCTGAAACAAAACCAGATACACTCATCATGGACGTTACACTTAGATCGTTTAAATGAAATTAATACATGAGCATCATACTCAGAACACTACTCACTCTCAGGTTATATTTTTAATAGGGCTGTCAGTTTAAGGCGTTATCAACGGCATTAATGCAAACCCATTTTAATGGCGTCAATTTTTTTATCGTATGATTAACAGCCTTTTTGGCCTAGCAAACATTTTAGTTTTTTTCAATTGCTTTTGCAACAGGACGCAGCATGCACGAGGATGTTTTGTTGCTTCATCGACCAAAGCGCAAGCGGAGACCGGAAACAAAACAATAGGCACGCCACACACACTTGTTTGGGCTTGCGAGCTGGCCAAATAGTTGGTTAACGATACGTTTTGAGTGGATGACGAGCACGAGACGCCGAAATGGATGCCAGTAAGATTCTCAATGGAAAGTTTACTTTTAAAAAGTTGCCAAATGGTTCAATTGACAAGACCAAAGTGATCTGTGTGTTTTGTAGGGGTGTAACGGTACATGTATTCGTATTGAACCGTTTCGGTTCGAAGCTTCCGGTTCGGTACGCATACAAACCGAACGATTGTTTGGACCATTTTTCCTGCCGGCAAAATTCGTGCTGACGCGGTCAACACAACGTTGCGCAACATCAAATGGCAAGCGTAATGAATGCAGAACGAAACTGCGCTATAAATGTGCTTCACGGATCGTTTATCAGTTCGGACCAGCAACATCTGTGCAGCGCGAGCCGATCTCGACCAAGCGACACTGTTACTACACAGCGCTAAGAGATCCGGTAAAGAAAACATTTGAATTCGCCACTGAGGTAATAACATCGCTGCGAGATCTAGTGAGATGCATTCACATTTCTCCGTTATTAACCGCAGATCTCTATTAGATCAAACAGCGCTGTCATGGAAACCAGGAGAAACATTGTGCCGTGAATGAACTTTACGTCCACAGACCAGCAACATTCACCATGGATTTAATATAGTAACACTAACTGTAACCAGTTTGGCTGGAATGGTGAAATGCTTTCAAGTACTTCACACATCTTTTACCAGCACTTCAAAATTCAAATATTATATAAATAAATATATATTTAAATGTTATTTTTAATGTGATGACCAAAACATTATTTGTTCACCCTTCAAAGATGACCCCCATTTATAAACCTGAAAGTTTCAAGATCTAGGAAAACTCACTTATTTAAAAATATTTTTTCTTTAAACAAATAGGAAATTTCTCTGGCATTTCTTTCTTTTTGCTGTATCGAAAACGTACCGAACCGTGACTTTAAAACCGAGGTACGTACCGATTTTTGTGTACCGTTACACCCCTAGTGTTTTGTCATTGTGAACTGAGCTATCACCATCGCAGCACGTCCAGTCTGAAACACCACTTGATGATGGCCAAAGCACAAACATAGCTGATGCGAATTCTGCACCTTTAGACATTTAGAATTAGTGGTGCACGATATATCGGCCGCCATTATAACATCGGCCGATATGATCCATTTTTTACACATCAGTATCGTTTGACAGCACTAATTTTTTTGTATATAAGGGGACTATAATGGAAATTTATTTTTGGTGCTCAAAGTGCAAAAAAACAACAACACATTTGAAAAACTCAACAGCAATGTCTCTTTCCAGAAATCATGACCTGTTGTACTTAAAGGAGTAGTTCACTTTTAAAAAAAACTTTTGCTGATAATTTACTCACCCCCATGTCATCCAAGATATCCATGTTATTCTTTCTTCAGTCGAAAAGAAATTAAGGTTTTTGATGAAAACATTCCAGGTTCAAACTACCAAACGGTTCAAGGTCCAAAAGACAGTTTCAGTGCAAACTGCAAACTGTTCAAAGGGCTTTAAATGATTTCAGACGATGAATAAGGGTCTTATCAAGCGAAACGATTGCTCAAATGGTCGCCTTGCTCTGTTCTGTGATGCACGTTTGTGACTCTCCTGTTCGAACTCCTTCATCAAAATGAACAAATCTTTTTCCGAGTCAATTTGTTAATTTCGTTCTTTGAATGAACCAAATGACTGTTACCATATAGAGAAAAATCCTGTTTTCATCAAAAACCTTCATTTCTTTTCGACTGAAGACAGAATGACATGGATATCTTGGATGACATGGGGGTGAGTAAATTATCAGCAAAAGTTTTTTTTTAAAAGTGAACTACTCCTTTAAGATAATCCAGACCTTATTGTGAGCAGTTTCATGTAGGAACTATCAGTTGAAAGAAAATAGTCACTACATGAAACTGCTCACAACAAATCTGTGGATGACTTGACAGAATACATTCAAAATGAGGAAGACATCAACATTACCTTGAACAATCAAGCGAGGGGTGCTTGGTAGCATCACAGTCCCTTCTACATCAGTGGCTGTGGCACAAGGCTGCAAAAATATGAGTGGAATAAGATTCAACTGTTAATAATATTTACCTATAGTAGCTCTAGTCAATTTGCGAACAAATCTTCCCTTGGCCCCCATTGATTTATCTTAGATTAGGCAGTAAACATTTGGTAAAGTTGAATTTGATCATGACAATGTGACAGGTTTCTTTGGACTGATGAGCAGTTGGCACCTGTATGAATGGTGAAGTGTAGAGTGAAGCGCTTTGTGTGGTCAGAAAACTAGAAAGATGCAATATAAGTACACTCCAATTATCATTTACCAAAAAACAAAAGGCCTAATGCTTGTGTTAATGTGAGTAAAATATACTTACATCAACATCAAGCACAATAGCATCCGTAGGCTCTTTAAAGTATGCCATTAGAAGGAGAAGAATGCATGTAGCCTTGTCTGAAGACTCCGGTTCAAAACAAGCCAAAACGTCTTTCACGCCTTGATGACAGTTGACTTCTTTGCAAAACTTCAGAATGGTGTTGAATTTGTTCTCCAGGGCCTCTCGAAACTTCACGAGGATGGAGACATCGGTCAGAAGAGTAAAGTGGGAACATATACCTGAAGATAATGGAGTAGAAGTGCTGCTGAATCTTTGTTGTAATTATATGCTGGTACTCTTTGGATGCTTCAGGTACATTGTATTGGTGGAATATAGCCTCAAAAACGAGCGAGTGTATTTTTGCCAGTATATGCTCACTTTTCTGTTCAAACAACTTATAACTTATACATTTTACATAATGACCCATCCCTTTAACTCATTATTGTAACAAAATAAAAGAAAGATATTGTGGACAATGGCCCTCATTTACCATTCTTGCTTAGAAACGGGCGTATATGTGCATTTTACATTTCAGATGATTGAGACTATACTCCACCCATGCAATGAGCCATGTGCTTCACAAGATGGAATAGGGCAAAAATACCTCTTGGTGAAAAGAGAAAAGGCCATTCCTGCTTAACAACTGCAATGGCTGGCGCAGGTACACTATTAAGATAGCGTCGCTGGATGATATAGGTCTTCTCCATCAGAGGTTCTGCTCTCTCAGCACCACTCATGCCTTCCTCTGAGTATATTTTGAGGAGATTACTTTTAATGCCATCTAATGATTCCTCAGTTTCGCCAAAAGGAACTTCCACAGGACACCACCTTACACAGCCGTACTGATCTACAGGGCCTCTTGTCATCCCTCTGCCTTCATCTGGTACCTGACTATGCGTCCTCTCTCTGCGTCGTCTCACTAGAGTATTGTTCCTGGTTTTATATTCCACCCTAGTTTTTAATTGCTGCAAAAAAGAATGACAACCATCTCCAAGGATGTCTCCATTTTTTGCAATGTCAGCAAAACATTTTGGATGGCTCCTTACAATGCTTCGAGCAATGTTGTGACACATTGTTCTGTTTGGGTTAGGGTCATGATCCAACATCTGATCAACCACTGCCCTGACCATTTCCTTTCTATCGCTTGGTGATGGTCTTGATTTATTTGTTAGCGCCTTTCGAATAGCTGCTGGCATCCTATCCCAGTTGACCTCAAAGGCTACATGCCATGGTCTGCCAAGGGGCAAGGATGGAGACGAAATGGTATCTTGAGTGCATGGGAAGTTGGAAGGAGTGTTTAAAGAGCTGGGGACAACGGTTGGAGTGACAGGAACCAGTTCCAGTTGAACTATTGCGAGTCCTACAATTAAGAGAACAGATAATTACATGAAGGGAGTGAGAAAATACTCCATCTGTGTTTGATTATCGCTCTGAATCGGATCTGGATGTGATCTTTGACAAAAAAAAATATTTTCTGATTTTCACTTTTTTTTTTTTTTTTACTTTAATCCTCAGTTCCCTAAAACTCAACTACCGTATTTTCCGCACTATTATAATCCGGAGCGCATTATATATGGATCAATTGGTTAATAACGCTCCACGTTATTAAATTCGCCCGCGAACTCACGCTCGTGTCCATCTTATGCCCGCTCTGTCACACGGCCAGTTCAACCTCGTTTAAATCACTGTCCCCGGCGCTGCTCACGCGTTACAGAATGTTTATAAAGCGCTCCCCGTTCAGCGCTCAACGCAATTTGCTTTGTGCTCCACTCAAATCGGCCCCCGCTGCCTCCAAAAAATGAAAAAAATATGCATGTATTTGTATTTCACTTTTAGTTTAGACCACAGCCTTACCTTACAAAGAACTAAAGACCAACAACAACATTTTCCAAACAGAAATGTTTCATTTCAAATTACAAATTAGGAAAAGCCTAAGAACAGGAATGTAGCATTCACAAAAAGTCCTGTAAAATTAAACGATACAATGCAAGCAACTTTAGTCAGGCGGGGAAAAGACATGGAGTTTTCTCGTGGTGTGAGCTGAGCGGAGCGGGAAATAGGGCGACGCTCCGTCCTTTAAAAAATGCCGCTCTGCGCTCTGTTCAAGATGCGCCCGCTCGCGGTCCCCTCTCTTGCTCCAGCTACACTCCGCTCACATACTTTGCTGCGAATGTATGTTGTGCCCGCCCCAGCGCGCTTCCTATAAACGCCTCGCCTCCGGCGCCGCGCACTCGCTACATTCCCTTTAGCAGATCTAGTGGATGCATAAAGCAAACCCAGTTGAACGTATGACTGCAGTATCTTATGCGCCTTATAATCCAGTGCGCCCTATATATGAAAAATGTTCTAAAATAGCTCATTCATTGAAGGTGCGCCTTATAATCCGGTGCGCCATATAGTGCGGAAAATACGGTAATATTTCCTTTGTCCACTAATAATTTTTGACACTGAGGGTCTTTTATAAAGATATATTATTCATAAAGATTAAATATGACAATTAACTTTATTTATTGTTATTGCTAATATTGTATAGTATGTATTGTTATTTGTTGTATAATCGCTAATAAAAAAAATAAAATTTGTTTACTTTGGGCAAGCAGATTTCTAATCTACTTGACCGACCGAGTAGATGATATATTCATGCTATATTTGCACTTATGTGCTGCCTTTCTTCAAAAAAAAAAATGTTTTACTTAATTTTATGCATTATATTTTTATCTTTATTTTTATTCTATTCTATTTTATTCAACTTTAGATTATTCAACTTTTCAATGGGATAGTATAAAAAATATAGTTACCTTTAAAGCCATTCAGTAACTTTCGACACTGAATAGGTCGAAGGTATTTCTCTATATCTTTTTCTTGAAGCAAAGCAAGGTCTTCCTGGTTTTCCACCCCAAGCTCTTGCAACCCACACAGCAGTGAATAGGCCTTTATCACATTTCCTGGTTTGGAACGTTCGAAATCGCCCTTCGCATCGCACTTCCGGTGGTTACTTAGTTACCAGATAAACTATGGCTGCCTCCTCTCGCCGGTGCTATTGCAGTGTACCGGGTTGTTCAACATCAAAACAAAGACAGCCATACCTTAGCTTCCATGATTTCCCAAAAGACGAACACCTCCGCAAGGCTTGGGTGAGATTGATAAGGAGGGACGAAGGTCCTTTGTTCCATATAAGTCGGGGTAGTACGTTTGTATGCAGCTTGCACTTTGACGAGGAAAGCATTTACTTCTCGAAAAGTGGGCGGAGGAGACTAAAATCCGGTACTACACCAAGTCGATTTTCGTGGAACAGCTGGGGGGAGACTCGTGTCGATCGGGTTAATGCGCGTTTTGAAGTAACGTTAGTTGAAGAGTCACAGAATAGCGACTCTGCTATAGAGAACGCGGATGAACAGCCCACAGTCGCGGAGGATCAACAACCCGCGGAGGTTTGGGGGCAACAACCCCACAACTGGAGGCTAAGGTCAGAAGTTTAGAAAGCCAACTGAGTGACCTGTCATGCACACTAAACATCAACAGATACTGTGCCACTGACGAGGAATTCCGGTTCTACACCCGTTTTCAATCAGAGAAGGTGTTTTGGTCGTTTTGGGAATCAGTTGCCTCCTCAGCATCTAGGCTAATCTACTGGAGCAGAGCTCAGAGGGCAAGCGATGTCATGGCATTGGAGAAACCAAGCCCGAACCGGAGGCTGGCACTCGTGGATGAACTGTTTCTTTACTGCTGTCGAGTTGCCGTTGGTATGAAGGAGAAGGTGATTGCGGACATATTTGGCATTAGTCTCACTACGGTGAGTAGAATAATAATTACATGGGCCAACTATCTATTCATTGTTTTGGGGTCAGTGCCAATCTGGATGACAAGGGAACAGGTGCAAGCAACAATGCCACCAAAGTTTGCACAGTACTGCCCGAACGTGCGTGTTATTCTGGACTGCACAGAAATCAGATGTGAGGCACCATCATCACTTACCCTCCAGTCAGAAACATTCTCCTCCTACAAGAACACCAACACTTTCAAAGGTCTAATTGGCATTGCCCCATGTGGTGTTATCACCTTTATCTCAAAGCTTTTTACAGGCTCAATATCAGATCGAGAAATTACACGTCAGTCAGGGATCCTCAGCCTGTTTGAGCCTGGAGATGCATGCATGGCTGATAAAGGCTTTGTCATTGACCAGATGCTGTCTGATGTTGGAGCAACCCTCATAATCCCCCCATTCAAAAGAGGTACCAGGTTCAGCAAACAGGACACAGAAAAAACCCAGAACATCGCCCGACTAAGAATCCTGGTGGAGAGAGCCATCAGAAGAGTGAAGGAATATCATATCTGGGACACAACCATTCCTTTGACCCTTTCAGGGTCCGTCAATCAGCTATGGGCAACTTGTTGCCTAATGTCCAACTACCAAGGCCCTCTGGATGTGAAGGGTGATGTCCCAGTGTGAAACCCTTAACATAGGCATAAGATGAATGATTCAGATTTGTTTGGTTTCATTTTATTGCATTAAAACATGGCATAGCATTTATTATTATTTATATATATATATATAGCATGACATATATACATCTATTATAAAAAATAATTTATGTGAAAATGAATACAATAACATAACATTTATACACTAAAAAAAATATCAGACACTCATCTTACATTTATATTTACATGCATTTAATTTACTTTAGTTTCAGGTACGTTTCCATATATGTGGTGAAATAAAATAAGTCAAGTTTACCTTTCATTTCACTGGTCAGCGACTCGTCGAGCCAAATTCGCTCTACTGTGAGGTCACTTTGTGTGGATGTAATGAAATCACACCATTTTAAACCAGTAATGGCTAACTGGCCTTGCACTTGCCAGAAATACTTGTGATTTTTTTTTAGTTTGGCCTGACCACCAATGAACTTGACATGTGTAACCTCTGTTATACTGTTAACATCTGGGCATTTCACTTCAGCTAACCCAAAGGGTGGATTTGCAGTGGGATCATACACTTTGGCATCAGGGCTAGCACCGAGGTAAGGCGCATCAGGATTCACAACGAATCCAGAAGGAGCAACACTGACATTGCAAAGGTCACTGTACTGTTGTAAAACGTCTGGCTCAAGGTCAATACCCCTTTTCATAGCAGGTGAAACCCCCTTTATGATCCTGGCTGCGAGAGCCTGACTAGATGACTCCCCTCTAACGCTACAAACTTCGCCGAATCTACTGGAAGTTAGGCGGGGCTGTCGGACTTCCTTCCACAAAGACTGCCCCCTTGTATTCTCTTCAATGATACTTGCACATTTACGGGTTAGTTCTAAACTCTGTAAGTGATAAAACTGCTGACAATTGGGGACAAAATGTAGATGCCGTTCTAATTCTAAGCCACTAATTAATGGAAGTTGTGGAAATGAGGGAGCTTCTGGATGCTTAATGATTTCTCGGGGTATTACTGGTGTGCACTGATAAGAAAGAACTGAACCTCGAGGGACTGGTCCAAATTTAGAGTCCACTAAAGTCAGTTCAGAGAGGCCGTGTAAGATTTTGCAAATGCCAGGTTGTGGCTGATGGCTGCGTAGTTGGGCTCCAACTGACAACACTGCCGGGTCAGGAAGGAGTCCTAAAACACAAGTAACAGAAACCATTCATCAGTTAATAACTGTCAATGATTTACAAGCAACAGTGTAGCTAATCTGATACAAAGCATCTGCATCTGCATGTTCTAATTTTAAAATTGCTGATGTTATCGGACTTTCAGAAATAGTAATAATAATGAATAATTGGATTCAGGTTTAATCATAACGTAGTGCAGACATTATCTTAATTCCATAATGTGCTTAAACAACAATATTGCTGGCCATAAACTGAGACAGTGCTAGATGCGGCGCTAAGGATGTTTACATTACAACTAGTTGAAATGTTCCTCTTGTAAATATATTTCCCTTTCAAATGTGCATTCTGATTAACACATACATTCATTTCCAAACTAACCTGACGAAGTCCAGTGCTCATCTTCTCATTAACAGCGTTTTTCTCTTATTGATCATATTTCATACCAGTTTAATTTACAATCCTAAACTGAATTTTACCTATTTTTTTCTGATAAAAGTTGTTAAAATATGGCTGATTTTTGGTTACCATGATTTTGTCACGGTGCGGGTTCAGGCAGAAGAACAGGCGGAGATCAGAATCTCGATAAGAGACGTTTAATTCCAGAAACAGGCAGGAAGACGGGATATACAACGCAACATTCAACATTGACCGACAATAACTGAATGAAACAGAGGGAACTAAATACAGGGAGGAATCAAACATAACGATGTGAAGACAGGTGATACTGATGAACAAGACGAGGAACAGGTGGCTGATGAGGGAGTGAGTTCAGGAGTGGAGACAAGAGGATCCTGGGAAGTGTAGTGCTGATGACAAGACTGGACGGTGCAGACGAAGACTGTGACAGAACTCCCCCCTCCCGGGAGGCGTGACCTCACGCCGCAGAACAGAGGAAGGAGGGGGGATGAACTGGGGGCTGAGCGGGGGGTGGCCAGGGCGGAGCAGGCTGAGGGCGTGGCCAGGGCGGCGCAGGCTGAGGGCGTGGCCAGGGCGGAGCAGGATGAGGGCGTGGCCAGGGCGGAGCAGGATGAGGGCGTGGCCAGGGCGGAGCAGGATGAGGGCGAGGCCAGGGCGGCCATGGCGGTGAGGTCCCTTCGGGCGGCCATGGCGGTGAGGACCCTTCAGGCGGCCACGGCGGCGAAGACCCTTCAGGCGGCCACGGCGGCGAAGACCCTTCAGGCGGCCACGGCGGCGAGGACCCTTCAGGCGGCCACGGCGGTGAGGACCCTTCAGGCGGCCACGGCGGCAAAGACCCTTCAGGCGGCCACGGCGGTGAGGACCCTTCAGGCGGCCACGGCGGCGAGGACCCTTCAGGCGGCCACGGCGGCGAAGACCCTTCAGGCGGCCACGGCGGCGAGGACCCTTCAGGCGGCCACGGCGGTGAGGACCCTTCAGGCGGCCACGGCGGCGAGGACCCTTCAGGCGGCCACGGCGGTGAGGACCCTTCAGGCGGCCACGGCGGCGAAGACCCTTCAGGCGGCCACGGCGGAACTGAAAGGCCGAAGAACCATGGCGCCAACGAAGTCCTGGCACGCTGAAGCCACGCCGTAGAGCCACGGGACCGAAGAGGCGACGCGGGGACGGGTGACCGGAGTGACGATGAGGCGAGGGAGGCCGACGGGGAGACCAGAGGAAGGGAGGAGTCCAGGGATGCCGAAGGGGTGCAGGGTGAGGGTGCAGCCCGAATCTCGGAAGTCCGTGGCTGGTACTGGGCGCCGAGCAACGAGGGCCGACCTGGCGTGGCGCTCGAGCCCAGCGGAGCTTCCGGGCAGACGGACTGCGGAGGCGATGAGGGAGTGGTGGGTCTAGGTGAAGGCGGAGGGCTGACAGGGTGAGATGAAGGTGTGGGCTCTGAGGACAGAAGTGTAGACCTGAACTCGGCCTTACTGCAGGGGCTTGAGTGAGCAGAGGGGATGACCAGCAGTGGTGGATGAACAGTCCAAAAGTGATGGTTAGGAGGAGGTGGGAGAGGGAGGCTGGGAGGGACCATGGTCTCGGGCTCTGGCTGGACGGTCTCGGGCTCTGGCTGGACGGTCTCGGGCTCTGGCTGGACGGTCTCGGGCTCTGGCTGGACGGTCTCGGGCTCTGGCTGGACGGTCTCGGGCTCAGGCTGGACGGTCTCGGGCTCAGGCTGGACGGTCTCGGGCTCAGGCTGGACGGTCTCGGGCTCTGGCTGGACGGTCTCGGGCTCTGGCTGGACGGTCTCGGGCTCTGGCTGGACGGTCTCTGGCGTTGGAGTGGGGCTGGTGACGTCATCGACGGTGAAAGATGATCCACAGCTTACCAGCACCCACTCCACATAAGCCGCGAAGCTCAACTGGGAGCCCTCCCCGGACAACTGCTCTCTGGTGGCGGTGTTGAGGCCAGCATATAAAAAGCTGCAGAGGCTGTCGTCCGGGAAGGTGGTAGAGGGGACGAGGTTGAGGAAATCCTCCAGATGGTCCTCCAAGGAACGATCTCCTTGCTCCAAACAAAGCAGTGCTACTGCTGCAAAGGAATCCATTTTTTGGGGTCGGTCAATCTGTCACGGTGCGGGTTCAGGCAGAAGAACAGGCGGAGATCAGAATCTCGATAAGAGACGTTTAATTCCAGAAACAGGCAGGAAGACGGGATATACAACGCAACATTCAACATTGACCGACAATAACTGAATGAAACAGAGGGAACTAAATACAGGGAGGAATCAAACATAACGATGTGAAGACAGGTGATACTGATGAACAAGACGAGGAACAGGTGGCTGATGAGGGAGTGAGTTCAGGAGTGGAGACAAGAGGATCCTGGGAAGTGTAGTGCTGATGACAAGACTGGACGGTGCAGACGAAGACTGTGACAGATTTAACTATTAACTTGTAGTTTTATTTTGTTTTTTATTTGTAGTAAAACCATGGTCTATCATCATAAGAGCGCAAAAAAAAAAAAAAATGAACGATCCAACAAATTTAATTCATCTTAACAGGCTAACAGCGTGACGAATTTTGGAATAAACGTGTGAATTACAAACAGTGAAATGAAAAATCACTGAAATATTTTATACAAAAAAAAATATTAATTTTGATCTTTATCATCAATGCTCATACACACTGCAGGTCACTAGTGTGGTCACTATTTAGATGAGCACTGACGTGAGATGAAATTTTCACGCATGTTGAGCCATGGCTTATGTTAGATTAAAAACCTACAAGTCCTTTGAGTTTGAAAAATCATGTACACAGTAATCATCAAAATATCTCTTCTCCTGTCTCTTAAAATGAACACCCACAGGATGATTTACAAATCTGACATTTGACATTTACACAATTTGACATTTTCAGAGGCGTTTATTCAACTAGATGTTAACAAAAGCACATTGAAAATACATAACCGGAAGAATCGATACACTGCTTCGAGCAATTCCAGTAATCAATTCTGCCGTGATAAAAGTATATAAGTAAATTACCGTAATTAAAACTTACCAGCGTAAGCGCGATACAGAGTAGATTTGACACTACTGCGTCCTAGCGCCTTTGGCTTTCGTACCACGAGTTCATCCGTGGGTTCGGGACGAATCCCCTGGATCAACACAAAAAGAAATTAAATTCAGTTGCAAATCTGAGAGAGTATCAGGTTAATTCAGCAAACAAGCAATATTGTAGGTGTACATCCTATGCAGGCAACCGCTGCTCTGCAAAATAGAAGGAAACAAATGTATACTGAAATGTGATGTGTGAGTAATTCTAACATTGCATGTATGGCTATATCTGAGGGACCCAGACAAATTTTATATTATCATGTAAACAATTCATATGGATGAGGTGTAGGATATGGAGACACTGTGCAGAAACATCTACACCAGAATCAGTATTCCAACAGTGTGCACTTACAAACTTTAAAGGCACAACTTGCATCAGACAAACTTACCTGTGTCCTTGGACGGTGCCATGATTGAAGCACACCGGTGCAGGACAGTGGGGTTGGCACAGTTTTCAGCCCCATGGTGCTGTAGTGAGCCGTTTGATACAGGAGTGCAACAACATGGTTGCATAAAGCCATTCCAGCAGCACACGAGCAGGAGCATCCATTTAACTCCACAGGTCTAACAGCATGCAGCACAATCTAGAAATGGAGAACATTTACTTATGGGAAAGTTTGGATGTTTAGCCTGTACAGTAATTAGCATTTATTTGACACTAGGAACATTATTGTAAAACTAGGTTGAACAAAATTAAGGCAGCAGCCGAACAAAAAACAAAAGTTACTGATCTGCAACAGCAGATGGAAAAAGAAAAAGAGCATCTGCAACAGCAGAAGAAAGAAAAACAATGAACAAATGCACCTGAACCTTTGTAGGTCTGAAACCATGCTCTATTCACTACACATTACAAGTTTGGGGTAATTTGGTACTGTAGCACTGTCTGGATCCAAACTGTAAATCTGATGAAATCCACCAAGGATCAGAAAGATTAGGTACTATCTACATGATGTCCTGTTGATAAACAAAAGACTACAGAAAGCCAGTAACGCATGTTGACGAGTAAATTAGGAACTAGAGCATGATTTCGGCCTGAACTTCCTGACAATCAATGTAACCTGAAGTGTATGTGGCTCTTCATTCTTTTGCATAGAACGGTAGCAGCTCGCCTGCACTACCACTTCCTCACTCACTAAATCTGACACTGCATTAAAAGGGGGGAAATAGTCACACATCATACTGAAAAAAGATTAAATGTTTAACCACATACAACTTAACCTTTGGCTGTGATTCTTAAACTGCCGCAACGGCATTTCCGAACGTTAATGTAGCCAAAGTGATCATTAAAACATCGGGGCCTGGGCCATTAACGTTAGCTAGCTAGAGGTTACCTCCTCAGGCAAAAGCCACTGACACTGACTGACATACTCAAGTGAAAAAAAGTCACATAACGTTATATTGTTCGAATTATTTAAATAGGATAGGCTGTATTTGAAGTGAACCTTTCTAAGCTGACGACGAATAACTAGCTTACTAAACATAACAACAAGCTAGCGATAGCTCGCCAACAGAACAGAATTCAAGCTACTTACCTCTATAATTGAAGACAAAATTCTCGTAGAAGAACTTGTATCATTTCTCCAACCTGGATGATTTTACCTTTGAGTGTTCATTCACGAGTCGCACCACATCGTCTTGGCCAACTTTTGGGAGATTCGAGAGAGAAGTAGTCCAGCGATAACAGGCAGCCATTTCGAACGCAATAACCGGAAGACGCAGTACACTGCTTCAGCTATTTTTGACGGTTACTTCCGGCGTTCTATTTTGATGCGATAAAGGCCTATTCAGAGTTTCTTCGGAGAGGCCAGGTACGAATGACAGCACCACTTCTTTCATCATTACTTCATCCATTTTCTGAAAAGAGAGTTTGAGCAGACATACAAACAATTCCATTTGGCAAATTACTATAGTTATGTACATAATGTTTGAGCTTTATTACTGCAACAGAATGTCCCTAAAAGAGTGGAACTATATATAACTCAATAATTTCTGACCAAATTAAAAGTTTCCAAGTTTACTGCACTTTTCAGCCACACTGTCCCTTTTCCATGTTGATTACAAACAAATTATGTTTACTAACACTTTAACTTTCTGAGGGCTATTTCACAAAACCAAGATAGCGGATTAAGCCGGAATTTTTCAGATATCCTGGCTGAATTAAGCCGGGACTCGGTTTCACGAAAGCAGTAGCACATAAGTTACCATGGCGATTTATTCTGTGCAGCTAGCCTGCTCCAGACCAGGCTAACAGCCAGGCTTAGTCAATCCTCGTGCCTTATCTGTTCAGTCAGCGGTCACGCCGATCAGAAACCAATGTGTTTTGTCAGTTATGTGTTCAGCGCAATTTTATCAGCCTGCATTAAAATACCTCAGATACATTTGGCATTCAGTCAAGTATAGCCTACTATAATTATTGTAACATTATGATGGTAGCCTACCATTATTAACTATAATAATAATTATCCATATGGGTATTGTTACTGTTCAGTTGTGTTTTTGAAGACTGCTGTTCTAAGTTTGACAGATAGGTCTTTAATAGGCTATTGTATGTGATGAGGGAATTAGAGAAATGGCTGATAAAGAAGCAAAAGTTTTGTCAATCAAGTCAGGCAATATAGTTGCTCTAAACACATGTTTCGTCCTTTACAATGGCATGCCCATTTTGGATGACATCTGATGAAGCACTTATATTGAGAAGGCCTTTCAGACGTGAAAGAGAATTACCTGCAAGAGCGTTAGGGTAGAGTGCGGAAAACGCCCCCCTTAGGGAAAATGTGACATTACTGTAAAACAAAACATAAATGTGACTAGAATTGCCATCCCAGTTTTGAGTGTCTTTGGCACGAGTTATTTACCAAATATTAAAATTGCTCAACCTTCAAAATAATTTTTTTTTGACTGAAAATATTTTTGTACAAAGCGACAAATCAACAGCCAAATGAACATAGTTTTTAATCTCTAAAAGTAAAAGGCAAGTAATGCAACAACATAATGTATATATACCTATTAATATTTATTTCAGGAATGTACAAAATAGCCAAATTTCTATATTTTGATTTCTACACGAGGCCTATTTGTTCATCACTATCATCAAGAAAAACAGAAAACCCTAAATAAATATTAAACATAAATTAGTATATTAATAGTGAAATATATTACATAAATGCATTAAAAGTCACTGTTTTATCATTGGGTCACCTAACCACCTTCCATCATTGCATTCACCAAGCTAGCTAGCTAATGCTCACTTGAAGTCATTTTTTCATGTTTTGTTCAAATATTTTGATTTCACCGCCTAGTTATACTGCATTAAAGTGTAAAATAAAGACTTTGATGAACATAAATATGTTACTGTAGTAATTATGATAAAGAGAAACTATGCCCCTTGGGGGGCGTTTTCCCCGACTCTGCCCTACTGCTTTTCTGGGGATGGGCATCTGCTACCTGTGCAGACTGTTGGGTCCCAAAATTATCAGACACTTACCAGTTCTCATATTTGATCTTGACCTGTTGCCAGGTCCTCTTTGGTCCAGTCATGTTTGTTCTGTATAAATATATATAGGATGTGTAACAAAAAAAGAGTAACATAAATTAATAAGCTGCACTCTAAAAAATGCTGGGTTGTTTGAACCCAATTTTGGGTAAAATATGGACAAACCCAGCCATTGGGTTACTGGAGCATTTTTTAGAGTGTGTGTAACATAAATTAATCAGCTGTCAGCAGTGTTGGGTAAGTTACTCTAAAAAAGTAATTAATTACTAGTTACTAATTACCTATTCAACAGTGTAATTAGATTACTGTGCAAATTACTCTCTCTAAAAAGTATTTAATTAATTTTAATTACTAATTACTTTCAAAATCCCATATCAATCTCAACCAGCTGAATAATACAAGGATAGACATGAATCTGTTTTAATTCTTTCAAATAAATACTGTAAAATTGCATGAATTATCCTTAAACTGACCAAGGTGGAGAAGGTTACATTATAAAAACATACTTTTTTAGCATCAGACAATAGGCTACATTTTTATGTTAAACCCACTATTGTTTTATGTCTGATCTCATGACATTTCACACTTTTTTCATACATATTTTACAATAATTCATATACGAATTTGTACGAGTACGGTCGTAATATTTAGACACCTCATAAAATGCATACGAATCGCTGTGAGATCGGATTGATCTATACACAGTATTTACCTTAATTACATCAATAACTGTAATTAAATTACAGATAAATTAAGAGTAATCCCTTGCTTTACATTTTCAATGAAAAGTAATGAAATTACAGTAACTAATTACTTAGTAATTAGTTACACCCAACACTGGAAGTATGGTACATGCAACTTATCCATAGTAGCATCAATGAATCTGTGATAGACTGTGTGGTCTGTTGAAGAAAGCTGTTGACTCCCACTTATCTGAATTACTTACACCTGACTTGACATAGCCGCTCCTTCTGAGCCTGGTTTGGCCTTTGTGAAACTGATAAAGCCAGGATGGACTGATCACACTAGGTCAAGCCCAGCTTTATCTCTTATCCTGGATTTATAAATTCTGCTTTTGTGAAACAGCCCTCTGGTTATCTTTATTTGTGTATCCATTAGTTATCGTTGGGGTATCCAGGGACCCCAGACAATAACATTGCATTTTGTAACAGATTTTTTTTTTTTTTTACAAATGTATTTTTACTTAGTTTATTAATGTTTTTACTCAACATTTGTGTAGTTTTTGGAGGATTTATGATAACTTTTACATTTCTATAAATAAATAAACAAATATTTATTTAAATAGGCTTTTTTACAAAAAACAGCATTTTATGTAAAATACACTTTGTAAAAGACCCATTTCATTCATGGGGATAACATGGATAATTTCACATCGTTTAATGTAAGATTTCTGCCAATATTTTGGAAAATGCAGTTTAAAAATAAACAAATAAAAAATCACTTTAAACACTGCATGGCCATGGAGCTCCATTATATGCAATTAGGTATTTATTAACCAGCTATTTATCTTTTGACCAGTTGAATTCAGTTGGAATCATATCTAAATAATATATAATCACAATTATTTATATAAAAAAATTTTTTTGTCAAGTTTTAGCATTTTTTTGTACTGAAAAAAAAGTTTTTCAATAATGTTACATTATGATTAGAATCAAACCTGAACAAGATGTTACAAATAGAAATGTTGGAGTCTTTAGATTTTATTTATTTCAATCATTTTTTTTATGTAATTATATAATTTTAATCAAAATTTAATCAACTGTAATAGAACAAAAATTAACAGAAATTAACAGTTATATTAGATATTGAGGAAAAAAAAAAACATAAAAAAAACATAAAAATGCAATGAACTGGGGTGCATTTCCCAAAAGCATCGTTAGCCAACTATGATCGCAAGTTCCGTCGTTATCAGCATAGTCCAACGAGTCTGTGTTTCCCGAAACCATCGTTCCAACGAACATTCACAAACAGCATCGCAAAGTTGTGTGGTTTGAACGACAGCTCTCGACCTGTGGTTAGAGGCATCGTTTCTATATTGCATGACATTTGGAGGTAATAAATCCTTATCTTGAGCAAAATAAGCAAGCTGACATTCAGTACTACCGGTGCCTTTTATTTAGAATACAAATGTAATTTACGTCTTTTAGTTTTTCAAAAGATTTGAAGTAACGTTTTTGAAGAGTGCGCATGCGCGAACGTCAGTGGCGGCTGGTGAAAAATCTTTGAGGGGGGGCTGAACAAGAGGGGGGTCTGGGGGTCCCCCCCCCCCAGAAAATTTTGAATTTAGTAGATGTGATTTCCTGCATTCTGGTGCATTTTAGGCCTTAGGCCATGCCCTTACCTATACCAATAAAATAACTTAAACCAGTCAATACCAATGGTCAAATAATACAATAATAATAATAATAACAGTTTGACAGTTAATGATAATGAACAAGTTGCATGTTTATTATGCTCTGTGTGCTGACAGAAAAAGTGCAAACGCATAATATTAATAAATTATAATAAAGGTAATACAAAAAATAATAGGTAATACAACAATCTAGTTTAATCAATCCCCAGCTGTAGACTACATATTTTTGACAAATTGACAATTGGATAATGGATAACAATGTGTTGATACTAGAGAAAGAGAGAGAGAAAAGGCTCTGAAAGAGAGGGTGGGACAACATTCTTGAGGGTAACACCCAAGTATGAGAAGAAAGTTGATTTTAACTAGTATGAAACACAGTAATCTAGCTCAGAACTTAAAAACATCAAAAAACAAAGCAAACACACAGGTATTAATATTCCTATAACTATTTTAATATCAAACGTGTGTGAAACAGTGTTTATGTGTGTGTGAGTGACAGAGACAGACAGGTCAATTCCCACGACTAACTTTACATTATTTCCACTCGACGTCACTGGCGCTGCCATTCTGCTCTCATCTGAGGTAAAAAAATGTCCCGTGGTGCGCGTGCACGGTGCACTCCCCTAATCTGATACTGTGGGCGATATTTTCAGCGCCCCTAATCCATAAAATTTGACGACGCTGATTGGCGAAATATAAACTTTTTTGCATAGCAACCGGGGAACCATTGGCTTAAATTCCAGCACTGTGGGGCTGAGCGAACTGGCGCCCTGAGAAGACAGCCTATTGGCTATACTACTAACTACACCAACATGATAAAAGTAACGAAAGTGAATGCAAATGTCATTCTGGTGAGTTCAAAACACTTTTCAAAGTAAAACCATTATTAGCATATAATTAACACAGATTCTTTTTCAAAATGATAAATTATAATATATATTAAAAAAACAGACAGACAGGTCGGAGGGAGGGCGGCGCCCCAGC